AGTAATATACAACTCCTTGTAACCCATGTGGAGTTGCCTGCTTTGTTCATGGTCTCAGGATACCTTGTCAGTTTGGTGGTCACTATACTGTTAGCTCACTCACACTCAAACAGGCCCCCAGTATACTGCTTTGTACCTCTATCCCAAAACAGAGCACACTGGATGATGGTTTATTAGTCACAAGCCTGTTTATCCCACTAAAGTGTGACCCCTGTAAGGACAGAGGCCTTGACTTACTCATTTTTATATGTTCTATGCCATTTGCAGAGCAAATTAATCACTTATTTCCATGTGTCTAAACCAAATACCAGAGTTAAAAAATAAAGATATAAAATTCCATCTCCAACCACATTTCCCTCTGAGAATCTTTTGACTCCACGGAAAGGCCAGTTTGCTTTGGGCTATGAAACGTGGACTGGCTTTGCAAAATATAAAGGTACAGTAATAATAATAAAAAAAAATGTAAAAGCATTTCTACCCAACTCTATCATGATCCTGCCCCTGGGACCAAGAAACAGCTACCATAAGAATTGCAAGCAAAGAAAAATAATATTATTAATTAGAGCAATGTTCATTTTCTCTCGTTTTACTGGATTGACAGTGAAGTCCTCATGAGTAGTTGGGTACATTAAATTCTATTTTATCCTACAGTTTTTACTTCATGCTGGTGATGGGTATAAAGATCCATTTGGGGGCTAAGAAAAAGTGAATTCTAATACTTTAGGAGTAAATGTGGGACTCTATCCTCAAGGAAGCTCTATTGAGAGACAACGGCTGCCAGTCCTGGAACAAAGGCCAAACAATGCGTGGGGTCAGGAGAACTGGCCTCTGGTCTTAGCTCTCTTCCTAATTCACTGCAAGCCCTCTCTCAACTCAATGGCCTTCTCTGACCCTCAGTTTCCCATCTTCTCAGTTTTCCGTCTTCTCAGTTTCCCAGTATTCCACAGACAACACTTCCCCCCAGACCCCTCAGGAGTCCACGGACACAAGTTTAAAATCCCTGAAACCTGAGTGTGAGTCCCAGTTCTCCTTTTGTCAAGCTGTGTAATCTTGGGCAAGTCACTCTACATCTCTGAGCTCCATGTCTTTGCATCCAGAGAGTGCAGGTGTGGATTTTCCACTCTGGGTAGGGCTTCTTTGGATGTTATCTTCAGACGAAAATTTTTTAAGTTGGAGGAGGGCCTTGAACTAGAAGATATGTACATGGAGTTGCCTAATAAAATAAATAACATGAACCTGGAAGCCCTTGGCTGGCAAATTAGGCCATAGCTATTTTTCAGCCATAACTTGATTTTCAAGCCTCAATTGTAGAGTGGAGCCTCCACAGACTGAGCAATGTGAGAGGGACAGGACAGGTGAGAGGAGCAGAAGATTAAAGATTAACACCCACAGGAATAAAACTGACGATGGAGAGTTCTACAGGGCCATCTAACAAGGGATCAGTGGAAAACTCACAGAATCTCAGAGTTATTCTAATAGTTAGGAGAGAATTACTACTATGAGATTTTAAAAGCTTTTGTAACTTCCCCAAGTTTGTAATTGTGTCAGTCATTTGCCATTTCCCTAGTGTGATTAGCAGATTTAAAAAATCATAAAACCAAAAAGTGTCTATGTGCTTATCAGGAATAGGAGTCAGCAAGGAGCTGGTGGAAATGGTCTCCTGTTATCCCACTGGACTAACGTGAAAATGAAGGTGTGCGTGTGGGAAGAGCAGCAGAAAGGTAGAGAAGAGAGGAGCTGGGACCTGGCATGATGACTGCCATTTACGAGCCAGTAGTCAGGTCCTGGGCATTTCTCTCATGCANAAAAAAAAATGTAAAAGCATTTCTACCCAACTCTATCATGATCCTGCCCCTGGGACCAAGAAACAGCTACCATAAGAATTGCAAGCAAAGAAAAATAATATTATTAATTAGAGCAATGTTCATTTTCTCTCGTTTTACTGGATTGACAGTGAAGTCCTCATGAGTAGTTGGGTACATTAAATTCTATTTTATCCTACAGTTTTTACTTCATGCTGGTGATGGGTATAAAGATCCATTTGGGGGCTAAGAGAAAGTGAATTCTAATACTTTAGGAGTAAATGTGGGACTCTATCCTCAAGGAAGCTCTATTGAGAGACAACGGCTGCCAGTCCTGGAACAAAGGCCAAACAATGCGTGGGGTCAGGAGAACTGGCCTCTGGTCTTAGCTCTCTTCCTAATTCACTGCAAGCCCTCTCTCAACTCAATGGCCTTCTCTGACCCTCAGTTTCCCATCTTCTCAGTTTTCCATCTTCTCAGTTTCCCAGTATTCCACAGACAACACTTCCCCCCAGACCCCTCAGGAGTCCACGGACACAAGTTTAAAATCCCTGAAACCTGAGTGTGAGTCCCAGTTCTCCTTTTGTCAAGCTGTGTAATCTTGGGCAAGTCACTCTACATCTCTGAGCTCCATGTCTTTGCATCCAGAGAGTGCAGGTGTGGATTTTCCACTCTGGGTAGGGCTTCTTTGGATGTTATCTTCAGACGAAAATTTTTTAAGTTGGAGGAGGGCCTTGAACTAGAAGATATGTACATGGAGTTGCCTAATAAAATAAATAACATGAACCTGGAAGCCCTTGGCTGGCAAATTAGGCCATAGCTATTTTTCAGCCATAACTTGATTTTCAAGCCTCAATTGTAGAGTGGAGCCTCCACAGACTGAGCAATGTGAGAGGGACAGGACAGGTGAGAGGAGCAGAAGATTAAAGATTAACACCCACAGGAACTTGGCTGGCAAATTAGGCCATAGCTATTTTTCAGCCATAACTTGATTTTCAAGCCTCAATTATAGAGTGGAGCCTCCACAGACTGAGCAATGTGAGAAGGACAGGACAGGTGAGAGGAGCAGAAGATTAAAGATTAACACCCACAGGACTAAAACTGACGATGGAGAGTTCTACAGGGCCATCTAACAAGGGATCAGTGGAAAACTCACAGAATCTCAGAGTTATTCTAATAGTTAGGAGAGAATTACTACTATGAGATTTTAAAAGCTTTTGTAACTTCCCCAAGTTTGTAATTGTGTCAGTCATTTGCCATTTCCCTAGTGTGATTAGCAGATTTAAAAAATCATAAAACCAAAAAGTGTCTATGTGCTTATCAGGAATAGGAGTCAGCAAGGAGCTGGTGGAAATGGTCTCCTGTTATCCCACTGGACTAACGTGAAAATGAAGGTGTGCGTGTGGGAAGAGCAGCAGAAAGGTAGAGAAGAGAAGAGCTAGGAACCTGGCATGATGACTGCCATTTACGAGCCAGTAGTCAGGTCCTGGGCATTTCTCTCATGCATTTCCTCACTTAACAGCCCTATGAGATAAGTCCTCCTAGTATCCCCATTTTACATAGTGAGGAGACTGAAATATAGAAAAGAACAGAATGAGTAATTAACCTGAGATTCTAAAAGAAGAAAAAAACCACCACGGAATTGCAAGATAATCCCAAACATTCGGGCTTCCCCAGTGATCTCCCCTAACCCCACCCAGTGCTTCCCAGAAGGCTGTGAGAAGAAAGGAAGGATTTGAGATGTTATTAAGGTGTAAAAGTGAGCCTGAGATGTAATCAGCAGGGGATTTAATCCCAGGCCATTTGATTTTATTTAGGAAATGGCATAGTGATGGGGCTCTATATACCTGGCTTCATAGTCCCTACATAATAGAGACTGGGGTCTAGGGAGCAATTTGGGACCATTTCACACATTAATCCCCATGGAGGGGTGACAGGGGAGAGAGAGAGGAAACGTATGCAATATTTTCATGAGAGTTTTTATTGTTGTTTTTTTTCTTTGTGATTGAATTACAGTTCCTAACCATTTGGTGCTTTGCAGAATTTTTGGAGAATCTAATGAAAGTCCTGGACTTTTTGCCAGAAAAATGTGTGTGCAACATACACACACAATTATACCTACAATTGCAGGGAGGTCATGCCCCCCCACAAACTCATTCACAGACAACCCCCATTAAGGAATCTATGGACACAGTTTGAAAATCCCAGAAACCGAGGTGCGAGTCTCAGCTCTCCCACTGTCTAGCTGTGTGATCTTGGTCAAGTCACTCCACATCTCTGAGCTCCATGTCCAGCCAGCCATAGTGTGGAGGTGAGGAATTGCCACCCTGAATAATGCCAAGGATTTAAGCCAGCCCTCAACCACGGAAGCCTTGCTATCCAAAAATTACATGAAGATATGGGGAATAAACCAGGGATGGTTAGCCAGGGAAAGAAACCCCATAGAGGCATGCAGGTCTTCTGGAGTGGCTTGAAAGCATTTTTATGTGAGTGAAAGAGAGGGTCCCATTCTGTGAGAGGCCGCAGAGGTGACATCGGGGGAGTAGCATGGCATGGAGTTCGAGTGGCGTCAGAGTTGAGCAGACATGGGTTAAATCCAGGTCTGCCATTTACTGGACAAATAATGTAATATTCATGGACTCTAAAATGGAGGTGATAATGGTACCTATCTCAAGGGATTTTGTAAAAGAATCAAAACACATGTAAAATGCAAAGTGTTAACATCCTCAGAAGGTAATAGCTTCTCAATAAACTCTCTGACATTTCATTTATTTGCCTGTAAAATGGGGATAATATCTGTACCTACCTGTAAGGTCATTGTGAGTTTTAAATAATAAAATGCATATAAAATCCTTAGTAAAGCACCTGACACATTATGATATTTTCAGTAGGTGGTAACTGCAATTATTACTATGAATGTTTCATTGTGGGGGGAAAAATGGGAAATGAACATGACCTTTTATTTTAGAATAGAAGGGCAAGTAAAATAAAATAATACTTAAGAGCATTCAATCAGAGCTAGACTTCCTGAATCTGGCACCTGAGTGCTGTGTGGCCTTGGGAAATTTAGGTCAAATAGGCAGACGAGCATCTGCTGAAGAGGGGTTAATAAAGTGCCCCATGAAAACGCCTGGACACTGACCCAGCACTACCATGTGCTCAATATATCCTGGTTTCTTCCACAATGACTGATGTTACCTGGAGACTGACTGGTCATAATAAGCTCTTCTTCAGCAGTGCAGCAGCCTGTGGATGTTCCAGCAAGTATTCTCTCTTCTAGGGTTTGGTCAAAGAGGAACAAAATGAAAATTATCAGCGATATTATAGAAGAGGCAAAATTATCAGATGACCTCTTATTCCCTTGCAATTCAATGTAAAATAGTCCAAGATTTAAATGTAATAGAGAACAATAGTTTTAGAACACTCTGCCCACCCTCCATCATCTTTCTAGTTGCTGCCTTCTCTTCTACCAGAAAAGAGGCCCCCCACCCTTACCCCATCCCATGAACGAAGAGGGTTTGGATCTTTGGCACCCAGTTTCTCTCAAGTTACCAACTCCTAGTCCACGTTTTCTGTCTCCCACTGTTTGAGTTAGTGCATGCCAAAGCTTTTCAACATCAGATCACCCTTGCGTTTCATCCTGATTCATAGTCTTACTTCAAAACCTATCCCCTTCTACTCACTCTTGTCTGTCCCCTCCAATTCTATCTTCTGAGCCTTTGTGGGTGACATTATATTGCCTCCTTCACAGAGTTAAAGGGTGGCTGTTTTCTGGCTAATAAACATATAGAAAGACACTCAAACTTTGTTAATCAGAACAGGAAAAGAGCAAGATGACATTTTCTTTTCAGGAGATTGAAAAAAATTAAACAAGTGGTCCTATTGAGTGTAGGATACTGTATGGGTGGGAGAATAGATTGGAACAGCATTTCTTGAGGACAAGTTTGTATTAGCTTTTAAATTTTAAAGTGCACACTTCTTTCAATCTAACATTTCTACTTCTTGGTTACCACCCTAGCTGGAGAAACACTTGCATAAATGCTTAAGGGGGCATGCTTGGACAAGGATGTCCACTGCAGCAGCATTATAATAACTTGACATTGGAACAATCCGAATGCCCCTCAATAGGCAATAGATACTAGGAGTAGCCATGGCAGGAAATACTATACAGCAATTTAACATAATGATGCAGATCTATACAAGCTGAAAAGGAAAGTGGTCCGATATATGTTAAGAGAATAAAACAAAATGCAGAAGGCTACATACAGTATGATAGCATTAAAAAAAATACACAAAGCAAAACTATATATTTCTATATCTATGCATACTCATAATGAAAGCGAAAAAAGATCTAGAATGATCATCTTTAATAACAGTGATTATCTAAGGGGAGGGGGCTGGGATTGAGGACAGGGAGTCAAAGGGAATTTTATTTCTGTCTGTTTTTATGTACCCCTAACAAAAATGCATTAGTGTCATGTTTGTGTAATTTGAAATAAATAATAGTTTGAAAAATGAATAGGTGATTTTCCTACCCCATTCCTGGCTTCAAGACAGAAGTTGCTAAGGAATAAGGGATACTTCAACAAAGGGGCTTCAGAAAGGAGCAGAGAACAGGAGAAGCTGTCACTGAAACTCCACCGTGTTTCACTATCATCACAGCTTGCAGGAGGACATGAAATGTGGCCACAATGGAACCAAAACAGCTGAATCCCAACACAAGCAGGCAGGCAGGCAACAGACTGTTCCCACAGCCAAAGACAAAGCACTCATGAGAACACAGCTCCCTTACCTCCAGGCTGAGAAAAAGTCACTGAATCTCTCATTTTCCACGTCGAGGCCTCGGATGTTGATAGGTGAATCCGATCTTCAGACTCTGGAAAAACAAAGGAAAAAAGAAAACAAGCTCCTGTTGAGTTTCCCCAAAGACTGGCGTGCTTGGAAATTAGGATGAGAGAGCTAAATGCCACCTAACCAAGGGTGTAAAGGTGAATACACTAGAGGTGCACCACATGCTACCATAAAGAATTGCACAAATCCAGAAGAGCTGTGTGTCTCTGCATCTGTCTGTCTCTCTCTTTTCTCTCTGAGAGCCACAGGAATGGAGAAAGCACAAATGCCCTGGTGCCAACTTAACCAATCACAAGTGTCCTGGTGCCAATTTGAACACAGGTGATGAATCAGATAACTAGAGATGACTTTGGGTCATGAAGCTTCACGGCACAAAGGACCCAAAGTCATCTCTAGTCATCTGATTCATCACTTGCGTTCAGCATTTTCTTCTCCTCAATCCAGGGTGGAGGACAGAGACTGGACACAAGTGTCTGCACACCTTTGAGTGTAAGTCCGGGTGTGTAGAAGTCACCTTGGTACTCCTCTGAGAGTCACTGGAGACAAGGGAAGTTTTGGATTATGGAAGAGAAAAAAAGTACAAAAAAAGGCAGCTAAAAAATAAGTGTTAACAGTATTAGTGGTGGGTGGTGGCGTTGGGGGCAATTTTTATTGTCATCTTTGTGCTTTTCTATATATTTTAGGTTTTCCTCAAGGATTGTAGGTATTTTTAGAATCAAGGAAATGAAACCACAAATATGTGTTTTAAGATGACTATTTTAAAGCCCAAAGGAACTAAAACATACACACAAAAATTGATTGCTTTAGGGATCATGGATTTTAGGTGACTACTCAGAGTATAATAGAATTAGCCAATTCAATATCATAAAGCGATTTGAATTATCTAGGCCTTACTGAGGCAGCTGACATGCCTAAGAAAGTCTTTGAGCTATGTCATGATTGTTTTCCTATATCCTTACCTCAGAATCAGAGGTTGAAACATGGTGGGAGCCTTCACAAGCCCCACTAAGCAAGGAACTAGACACTGAGTGAGAGGCACAAGATGCAGGGTCAAAAAGAATTCAGGGGAGAAAAAAAGAAAAGGAAAGAAAGAAACAAGGATAAAATTAGTTCACCACTAAGGGATATTTTAAGGCATCTGGAGGCCTTTCCTTGACCAATCTACAATGCCCAGCAGAGACTTAACCCTTGAAAGAATGGAACTAGAGTCTGACCCGGAGTAACCTTCTCTGGTTCTTCAAAAGGCATCTCCTGCTAGACCCCGGGAGGGTCAACTGGAGAACCCAAAATGCTGACTTTTCAAAAACACAAAGAGAAAAAAAAAAAA